CGCAATGATTAGAATTGACTATCAGGATTTGCGCACAGAATAAATCCTCAGGGCAAAGTCTGCCCTTCCATGATTTCGTCTTACTTACTGTATACCTACCGTAACCGTTCCATATATCACCAGTGTATGTAGCAGATAGATTGTCCGCAATCTGCATCCCGAATGACTCCAGTGTACCAAATTTCGGCTAACTCCGCCATTTTGATTCATCTACCGTAAACCTACCGTAACCTCGTCAGATGACACTGCAGAATAATCTACATGTCATATTCGTTATCGGCGCTCGAATAACCCCAGTGTACCAATTTTCGATCAGTTTCGTGATTTTCTCCTATCTACCGTAAACCTACCGTAACACCTCTACATGACCCCATAGTGAAAAATGGGTACCATATGCGTGATTAGCGCACCGAATAACCCCCTGGGCCAAGTTTTTACAATCAAAATTTTGTAAATCACTGCGCACCATGATACCCCCATCATGCCTGCTTAAACTACGAGCAAAATGTACCCCGGTGGACTTTTTAGCTGCCCCTCTTCTTTTGCGCACTATTTCTCTTTCTCTGACCAAACTCAGAGTTATCTCTGACAAGTGAGTGAGTTCCATGATAGACTGGAACTCGCACCAAAATCAGAGTTATCGCAGACACTAGTTGCGCGTTTGGTGGCGCTGTTTCTTGTGCAAGACGATTTGGACAATGTTGCGCTACTAGGAATAAACTACGTGTTAAGGAGAATCCTGCCATATCATCGCTTTACGGATTTGATCTGTTCAAACACCTGTTAAGGGGTTCAAGAAGTTACGCGTTAGCTCAGAGATAACTCAGAGTTAACTCTGAGTTTCGATAGGTTTACTACCGACTCTGATGATTAGTCTTCAGATATTGAGGCTGATGTGCAAAATCATTCTGGAAACACTCGTTGTGTAAAAAGTGCTACCAAAGGTGTGATAATGCTGATACTGTGATAGTGGATGAAACCTTTCTTTGCTAGCTCAAAGGAATAAAAATAGAAAATAAAGCTTGATAACACGATATGCGCTTTATCACCTTCCTCATTTTATCCTAAAATTATTGTCTAGACCAGTGCGTCACCTCTGCTTCGCAGAGGCTCGCACTGGCCCTATGCTCTGTTTGCCTTACTCATTCCCGCATAATAATGACATTGAAACTCACCGCGCTATGTGGGCTATCACGAATAATTCGTAAACAACTACTCATTCGTAGAGGTCTTCCATGTGAGATCGGTAATTTCGCGTGGATAAAATCTTTCCCAGAAGAACAGATGCAAATTCGAATGGGCTTTTGGAATTTTTATAGCTTGGTAGTCGCCGTAAGGACAATAGACATAGTGGGCTACACCTCTGTGCAAAATTCTTCTCAAATAATCAGGTAAAATCTTGAAAAATTGACCGTTTACACAGCGAATGCTTTTTGGCGCTGTTTTCGTAAAGTAGTAGACTTTTCATTACTTTTTTAGGCTAACGTCCATGGCTTGCACATTAGCTTGTCAAATATATCCTTAACTCTGCAAAAAGTTGTACTACAAACCCAAATTTGCTGGCCAGAAGCCAAGTGGATCCGTTTGACGCGCAGTTTTCAATGGATCCACTCAACGGATCCGCTCATGCTTTTGTATAGTGAGCTTTAATGCCGGTAGCGTGCGCTATGCAAAATTTGGGCTCAGGACGTTGGCTGGAACACGCTCTACGAATTTCGTGACAGACAGAGATTCACACACACACACACACACACACACACACACACACACACACACACACACACACACACACACACACACACACACACACACACACACACACACACACACACACACACACACACACACACACACACACACACACACACACACACACACACACACACACACACACACACACACACACACACACACACACACACACACACACACACACACACACACACACACACACACACACACACACACACACACACACACACACACACACACACACACACACACACACACACACACACACACACACACACACACACACACACACACACACACACACACACACACACACACACACACACACACACACACACACACACACACACACACACACACACACACACACACACACACACACACACACACACACACACACACACACACACACACACACACACACACACACACACACACACACACACACACACACACACACACACACACACACACACACACACACACACACACACACACACACACACACACACACACACACACACACACACACACACACACACACACACACACACACACACACACACACACACACACACACACACAGACAAACGTAAACTACCCTTAGCCCGTTATTATTATTGTCTAGATATCTCAGCGCAGAAGAATGGAGGGGCGGTTCAAGGAAGTTGGACACTCAATTAACGTTGAAGTATTCTTAAACAATAATTGCAAGCTCAACAAGAACTCAAAAAATTCTAAACATTTAGCAAAATCCGCTTCTTCCCCCCCCCCCACCTGAATGATCGCTGCTATCCAATGGCAGAACAGAGTGTGAGCAGTGATCGCAAAAGCACTAACCTTTACGATTAAATACAGCCCTTCAGGTTTTTCTTTTCATCTCAGTTTTTTTTCCAATAATAGGTGCAACGAATCTGTTAATCCTTGAAAAGCTGCATTCCCAATGCGTACTCAATCACCTTGATGTCATAATATTATTATTCTCTGGCATGTAGCCTTGCGAGAATGTTATGTGACTTTTCATTTGAAACGATTGAGGAGAGTTAGGAGTGAATGGATTTGACTTAGAAGCTTAAAAAAATCTCCACAGCTATTAGCTTCTCTGCAAAATGCTCGCTTTTTGTCAAAAGCGGATGACAATGAGTTTCTGGAAAACTAACTATTGAAAACACTACAATTTTTCTTCAAGTGTTACAAAGTTTCGGTAATTATTATGCTACACACCCAACAAGCAAATTCATCAGAGAAGGTTGAACACCATTTGTTAGGAAACTATGTCGACAAATACAAACTTGAAGTTCTCTACTGTCGAATCGGTAGATATGTACTGTATAAGTTTGTTATCATTTGGAAGAAAAACCTCTTTTCCTCTCATTTATCTGCATAACTGGGCAACATGTCTTTGAGAGGTCAAATGCTTGATACTGTAAACTGCTATCACATTTCTTTGTAAAAACTGCCAATAAGAATTGCGCCAGAAATCTTTTTGACATCATTGCGTTAACAGCCTATAAACTATTCTCAGCTCAATTTGACAGCGATGTCAACGCGAGACATCAATCAATCAAAGAAAACATGTTTTTGCTGACATTCGTGGGACACTGCATCAGCAAATCACATTGAGAAAAAAGAATTTTTTATAACGTACCTCACGATGTTTCGATACATCAGGTGCTTTTTGCAAGTATTGTCTTTTTTCCATCAATTTTATACGTCAAATAAAAAATTTTGGGCTGCACAGATACACTATTTCAAAGTTATCTTTCCCTGGCTTTTTGCTATTTGTTTATTGGCTTCATGAGCCTTTTTTTTGAAAACTTTAATAATTGAATCTGAGCTGACGCTGATTTGTGCGAATTACCATCTAGTTTTTCAAGGTCTTTTTTCTCGCTGCAAATGTAAATAGTCCTTCTTACCAACCACCTGCCCGGAATTCTTATTATTTACTTCTCCTATTCGTCACTATCTTTCGAAATCTGTATTTACAATCTGTTTGGACATTTCTGATAAGGAGTTATCAGCGTTTTGAAAAAGGAACTGCTGGAGGACATTTCTGCTCGTTGTTTCCAAGTAGAAGGGCTTTCCTCATGGATGCATAGATGTAGCTCCAACTTTCCTGCATTCATGTTTTCTCTGTTCAGATTACAATTTTCCAACTGTGCTTCGATCATAAGGTCAATAAACCCGACTAGGTTTTTGGTATAATTCTTCTTTTTTTGCGTTATAATTATCATTTTCGTATTTGTATGCTCCACTCAGCCCGCACTGCAACGGGAAAAAATCGTATTACAATAATATTGAAAATTGTAACCCAAACCTTTGCAGTCGCTTGAATGAAATTGCCTCTAAGTTACGGCCAATAAGGTAAACTACAAATTAGTAATTGAAAGTTCGCACCATAGTGGTTGACAAAAGTGCTAAAAAAGAATCAAAGAATGAGCAAAAACTGCCCATGCTCCTATTTATCAAAAGGTATCCCCAGACTTTTTTAAATGTTTTTGAAACCCCGTGTATCCTATAATCCCCTCCATTTCTTTGGCTCTGGGAGACCTAGGATTCGCAAAGCTTTCTGATCGAGCATAGTCTGGCTTATTTCGCTTGAAGTAAGATCTCGATGTCAAAAAAAAATTCGTTTCTTATATGGGCTAATGAACAACTTTGATTGAGTATTAAGAAATATTAGAGACAGATCCATGTGTAACTTTTTGGTAACAAAGAGTAAATCAAATTCAAAAGCTTCAACTTGTTTAAGCAGAAATTTTTTTAATAGAGAAATGTGTTGGAAAGTGGAAAACTATCTTTTTTCACCAGAATTCGAAAAAAAAATCAAGCACAAAAACTGACTAAAGCTGAACATAAAGTTAAATGGGACGCACGCATACAGTTATGTTTTTGGAACCAGGCGGCCATATATGGCCAAAATCAAGCGATCAGCATTGATCAAATGTTGACTTCCGCTCTCAAATCTCAAGAAATCCTTATACTCTTGCCCATGGATATGCTTTAGTTGTAGATTATAATGCTTGTTGTGATTCGCCATGTATGTAGTCAAAGCTTGTGTGTATCCGGTTGCAAGACTTACTCGCCTTTGCGCACCAAAGGCCGAAAGCTAATTTTGAAATGTCAAGAAATGATTCTGAAAATGATACAGACATGAAAATTGACTCTACAGCGATTCAGATTGGTTTGAAGTTCGTGATTGCATGTCGGAGCAAAATTATCGCTAGCCAACCTAATGAACCATGTATTTCAGGATGATTATTCCTATTGTTTTGAGTGTCTTTGCTCTTTCGGATTCATATGCTCAAGTCATCACCCTGGATGTAGGAAAGGTGAAAGGATTTGAGTATAAAACTGCAAAAGGCGATATTGCCGAAGTTTTCCTCAATATTCCGTATTCAGAGCCTCCTTTGGAGAACCTCAGATTCCGAGTAAGTTTTTCCTGTTAAATATCAGTGAAACAGCTATATTTTTATCCTTGTTATTCAGAAGCCTAGAATTCCAAAAGATTGGACCGAAATCCGTGATGGCACAAAATTTGGCCCGGTTTGTCATCCGATTGTGAGAGAAGCTGTGCCATCTGGCGCGCAGGCCAGCGAAGATTGTCTCACACTTAATATTATTCGTCCGAAGAAGAAGGCAACCGTTGTAGATAACTTGTTTAGAAAGTGAAATAAAATTTTAGCCTCCAATGTCTGGTTATCCTATACTCTTCTGGATCCATGGTGGAGGTTATAGCGTCGGATCAGCATTTGAAGTCGGATATAAAAGTCTTGCCGACATCTACGTGCCCGGTGATATAATCGTTGTGACCATACAGTATCGCCTGGGAGTCTACGGTAAGATCAATTCATATATCTTTTTAATAAATCTGTATTGTTTCATAGCGGTGAGTAGCTGTAGAGAAAGGGAAAGAGATTTTATGGGAAAAGATGTGCGTGGTTGTTCAGATTTTTCGGAAGAAATCTTGGGATGTTCTGCAAAATGTCAGCAGACCTGGAATTTCAAAGATTTCAGAAAAAGTGGGGCAGCCACAAGACCTCGAAAATTTTTTCACAACTAGAATTAGAACAAAAAAGTGATTTTTATTCACCAGTGAGTACAAGTCAGTTGTACAATCTTGTATGTGCTGTAAGCTACTTTCAATAATTCCCCTCATCGCACCACCTTCCCCCCCCCCCTCCTTAGTCCGCCAATGGTGGGAAGGCAAGCCTTAATCAAATATTTTTATCTATTTATCAGGGATTTTAGAAACTTTGTAGGATAGAACAATTGCCAGTGAATCAATGTTTAAAAAATTTATGTGACATGAATGCTTCAAAGATAATTATGTTTCCTGGTATCCTATCAGGTGAAAAAGTCTCGAAAAGTACTTTAGGATTCTTCTCTTCTGGTGATGAGCGCGTGTTAGGAAATCTGGGCTTATTCGACATAGCTGAGGCACTCAAGGTATCGTGTTCTATTCTTTTTTTGCCGTAAAATGCCATATTTTACTTTCCCTTTTGACTGTTGATGTAGAAGATACTGGTTTTACAGGAAAGCTCTGGTTTTTCTAACAAAACTTTTATATTCGATTTTTTGACCTAAATAGTTTTGCGTAAAGTGACCTTATATGATAGCTGAAATTGTGAAAACTTAGTCGCATCACTGCATTTTTGCAGATAAATTTGGATTCCTCAAACAAAGGAATAAGGGTGTAGATGACAATTGATAACTTATAGTTAGTCATGCTTTTACAGTTTGTCTACGGTAACGCGGCGTACATTGGTGGGGATCAGTCGCGTATTACCGTCTGGGGTCATAGTGCTGGTGCTGGTGCTGCTGGTCAGCTAATTCTCAGTCCAATTACGAGAGGTAAGTTTATTTAACATCGAAATCTTCCTATCAATCAATAATCTAGCTCTCGACTCACGCGCGCGTTTATCGCCTCGGGATTCTTCTGACAAGGCAACTGGTACGGATCATCATGCCGTCATCCTGCATTTTGTGATGTTTTTTCGACTCGACTATTCGCGAGTATCTATCACAAGCAAAATGCAAGATGATCGGCGTGCAATGGAATTGTAACAGTTGCCCTGTCAGGAGAATCGCGGTGCGTTAAAATCGCGGAGTGTGAGCCCGGCCTTTTAGTCGAAAAGGACCTACATAAAAGTTATAAATGCATTTGTGTGGTTATCTTTTGACTTAATTTTGTACAGATATGGTAAATCAATCAATCGAAATGTCCGGATCACCATGGGCATCTTGGGCTCTCGGTGCTAATGTTGTGAAGAACTCGATGGAATTGGCTAAGGTGATTTTTTTTATATTTGATTCAATTTTAGTCTCAAAAACCGTGTTCGCTAAAAATGGCAATTTCAGCTGTTTGAATGTGACAGAAATATCAGAGGATGCTTGAGAAAGAAATCTCCGGACGAAATCTATGATGCTGTTGAGAAACTGGTAAGCGGCTAAAACTGATAGATCTTACAAGGAAACGGTACTCGGTGTCCGTGGCCTTTTGAGATGAGATGTATACCATTACACTCGTTTTGGAACACTGATTCCGAACCTGACTTTTGTGTCTGCTAATCGCTTCAAAGATGTTATAATAGATCGCGCGGCTTCTGGTTGCCTAGTGAAACAGGGTCGGCGCCAGCACTAAAGGTGCAATGTGGTGTAGAGGTTAGTGCGTTAGCCCCAGGAAATGCAGGTGCGGGTTCGAATTGTTTTGTGTTTCTCAGTTTTGCATTGTCTCAATTAACCTTCTTTCGCATCATCGAGCTAAGTGAACTCCCTTACTCTTCAAAAAATGTGGAAATTTGGAAAAAATGATTACTATTTGCTCTAAATTGTATCCAATGATCATAGTTCAAGTAAATTTTCTCGAATAAGCTTATTTGAGGCCACGCAAAAGTAAAAACACAAAAGGATTTGAACTTATACCTGCATCAACTTATAAGGCTATCGCACTAATCACTGAACCAGAAGGTGGCCGCAGTAGAGGCCGTTCCAGTGACCATATTTCCCTTGAGCAGCCTAACTTGGCACGAAATCCCCCGATAACTTCTTTCAGAGAAACGATTAGCAGAAACGCAGGGCAGATTCGGAATTAGCGTTCGAAGACGAGTGTAATGGTATAAATCACTTGAAAGGCCACGGACACTGAGTATCGTATCGTTCCCTTGTTAATGACAAAAACCCGAAAGATAACGTCACCTCCTTCTGCTCTGACACAAATCGTGCGCCTTTATACGTTACAGTTTGTAGCAGTTGTCCGCGAAGGCGAAGTCTGTTGACGGTGTATATCCGCTTTCAGTAATGGTGGACATATATTTTAGAATTTTTTAGATGCAAGAATGAGCAACCTTGTGGATTTCCAAAACAATAATAAACACAAATGACAGTCAAAATTATTTTAATTATTTTTTTTATGGTTCAACGACGGAAGGATTGTCAAATATCAAGTGGGGCCCGGTAATTGACAAAGTATTTCTTTACCATCCAGATGATTTAATATTATTGGCACCTCGGAAAAAATCTATTATTGGTTTTACAAACAAGGAAGCTGCACTATTTAGTCAGTGTCTTTTATTTATTTCATAAACAAGCAATAAAGTGACCTCTTGAGCCATCATGGGGGTAGCCCCATTCCTTCATAAATTCGGCATCAACCCTTCGAATTATCCGGAATGGACCAGAGAGAAGTTAGTCAGTACAATTAAGGTAATCTGTCTGAAAATGTGGAAGACAATGTAAATCATTATTAATGGTTCCAGAAATACGTAGAATTAGTTTATACTGGAAGCGATGCACAAAATATCATTGACAATCTCGTGTCATACTATGTGGACAAAGGAGAAGAGAAAAATTACGAGTTTTATATAGACCGATATACGCAAGTATGTTTCGCTGATTATTTCCATCTTTTTTATCACACTTGCCTTTCACTTTATCACTTGCACTTTCAGTTTATCAGCGACGCTATTTTCAATGTACCGATTGTTGACGGAATTTTGAGTCGTCGAAAAGCCGGTTGGACGATTTACGCCTACTTTTTAGATCATTATAATGATGCCATTTGGAATGATAGAGTGCCAAAAAGATTGAGAGGTTGGTGCTTGCTTTACAACTAGAGAATTCACTCTGAAAACCTAATTAGGAATGAATTTCTATGCTAGGTAAACATCATGTCTCCTCATACTGGTTTAGTGGCTCAGTTATGAAAAACTCCTTACAGGTGCAGCACATGCAAGCGAGTTTCCATATATAAACGGAATGCATATGCTGGGTGATTTTACATTTGATGAAAATGAACAGAGAATCGCGGATATTTTCCAACAATCTATAATTGAGTTCGTCAAGAGTGGGTAAGCCCCCAAATCTAGTCGTTATCTAATAACATCAAGAGCATTTATGCAGGGTTGCAGTAAATCAGCATGAAATTTGGCATGATACCGGAAAGGGAGCCAAGCTTGAATACCTGAGAATTGCTCCGCATTCTGAAATGAAGCAGGGCTTGAACAACGGTATGCTTTTGTCGAAATTCTTTTTACTAAGACCGTATCATGTGTGAATATTGGCTTATGTTTTTTGGGACCAACAACCACATGTGTAGGGAGGTATCGTCAAATTAAAAATGAGCTCCACTGACTTCTACTTTCCATACTTTCTTCTACTTTCTTCTACTTTACTTTTTCCTTGAACTGTTGATATGATGAATCTTTAAGTCAGCTGCTTTTTCCTAGAGCTGTCGATAAGCTTAATATTTTGAGTAAAAAGAAAAAGGCGAAAACCATTAAAGAATTACAACTACAGAACTACACAGTGAATTGATATTCTTCAGAGACCATCGACTTCTGGCACAAACTCCGCAATCACAGTTTTGATCTTGTCGAACTAATGCCCTCAAGGAATAACAAAAGGTTTAAGGATGAGTTGTGATTGCTAGAGGAATCACTACATTGACGCCATTGATTAAATCACAAACAATGATTCTAGACTGCTGGAGAGCGGTTAAAAGGCCTATCTACTGTACACTTTTTGGAATCTGCATTATTCTTCCTTGTTCAATGTTTTCATAACTTATGTGTTTAGCAGCAAATCAGATGTATAAAGCTTCTTACACCATTTGTTTATGTAAAAGTCCTTAAGTTCTCTCCAGCTTCTTATGGTTGAAACAATAAGCAGCAGAACACAGCATTCCGCAGCACTATTTATGGGCAACTTTATGAAATGGGTAACCCTACCAAGCGCTAGCTGCCAGCTGCTCGCAAGCGCAGATCCGCCCTCCCTCATCTTTCAAAAAGCAGAAAAGAAGGACATGAATATTAATTTAATATTAATAATAATTTATTAATAATAATTATTATTTGTATTAATTATCAATATTAATAATTAATTTTAATATTAGTTTCGCTCACAAATGCAAATTGCTTCCTTATAAATAGAGCCCTGTCCACATTCCATTATTTACTTTTTTCTCCTATTCGTCATCATCCTTTGAAATCTATATTTACAACTAGCTGGCTTACCCGGCTCCGCCGTATGTACTGAATAGAAAATTCCATTTCTGAACCGATCGGGACCAACTTGGCACACCTATGACACCCGCCGGGGCCCGAAGTGTATGTGTGCTAAGTTTGGTCCCGATCGGTTCAGAAATGGAATTTTCTATTCGGAACATACGTACATACAGACATACATACAGACATACATACAGACATACATACAAACAGACATTCAGCTTTATATATAAGATCTATTTGGACATTTCTGATAAGGGCTTATCAGCGCTTTGAAAAAGGAACTGCTGGCGGACATTTTTGCTCGTTGTTTCAAGTAGAAAGGCTTACCTCAAGATACATAGATTCGGCTTCTCTGCCTTGACGTTTTCTCAGTTTAGATTACGATTTTGGAAAAAGTTTTTTTTTCTGGCAAACTTAACTCCATGTTTTCATTATGAAGATGTATTGGCGTAGAAATTTGTACATAGTTTTTCCCTTTTTCATTTGCACAGTGACCGCCATCACTAATTAATTTTCATGATGATATGTTTCTTCCAGCCTACAACGCGGTAGCTAAGAAAAAAAATACATTCCAAGTTTTTCTCACTCAGCGCAAAATGCCTCTATTCAAAATTCACGCATATATAAGTTGGCAGCAAAAAACGTAAAATTGAAAGATTGTATTTGAGTTTAAATAAACGTTATAGCAGTTTTAGGGCCAAAATTAACTTTTTGAACTTTTTGCGTTTTTTTGGTCCGCTTCTATCGTTGTCGCACAACAAGGAATTTCATTCAAGCACTTCCTGAGAGCGCAAGGTTCTGCATTATTATTTGATTATATGTCACTTTAAAGCTCACTGAGTCAAATTTTGAATCAATAAGCCAAATGTCTTTACATCATAATGGTTGACGAAGGCGAAGAAAAAAAAAAGGAAAAACGCCAGCTCGTCAGAAAAATCCGACTTTTTCAGAAGCTCCTTATCATGAGCATCATAGATTTTTCAAAAATCGAATCCCATGTATGATCTTGTATCCTTCTCCTCCCTTCCTTTTCTCTTCCCCCCCCCCTCTCTTACCTTCTCGCAAAGGCGGGACATAGAAGTAACGCTTTCTGATTCAGCGCTTGGCTTATCTCTTGCATTTTTGCGTAGAATTGCAACTTGACGTCAAAGAGATATCTACTATTTTGGTTGATAAAGAATTCTGGTCGTATTTGTTGGCTTATTGAAGTGTTAAAAGATTTCTGTAGGACTCCTGGTACAATTTGGAAGAGTATTTCGCAGAAATGATTTTTTAAGAAAGAAGTATAGGACGTGAAAACACCTGTCTTCTCCTAATTCTCAAGGGAATTTACAATGAAAAAGAGACTGAAATTAGATATAAAGTGTAAAATTGTTACGAAATCTACAATTTTGTTTTTTGATTCACTTGCATGGTTACAGATGGTTAAGGTTAAGAGATCTAGGTCGATCAAATAATGTATCGCGCCTAAACGACATAAAATTTTTACATTTTTGAATATTGAAGTTCTCAAATTGTAGATCATAATGATCATTGCGGTTGCCACGTGGATAGAGTGCAAGAGGTCGCCAATAGGCTGCACCCCTGCGGGCTGCCAGATACCACCATGTGTGATGGAGAGAAGTGCGCATTTGTTGCAGATGTTCAATCGACCCCTTCCCCCCCCCCCCATCCCTTGGGTGATCTGTCCTCTACCCATCAAAACTCACTCGTCTTTGCGCTCGCCATAGGCGAAAACGAATTTTGAAAGTCAAAAAAGGGATTATAAAGAAGATTTGAAAAGGGAAAAAAAGGGGTCCAGAAAGCTGGCAGGTAAAGGACGTCCGTTGAGAAAGAAATTCATTCTTGTTATTCGTGGTGAAGTTTGTAGGCCTCCACACAAATTTTTTTCTCTATATACATAGTAGCTCAAATTCTTTTTGGGTTTCGTGTATGCATTCCATAACAAAGTTGTTATTAGCCAACTTGATAATTCAGTGATTTTAGGATGATTATTCCTATTAGTTTGAGTGCCTTTATTTTTTGGGAATCTTATGCTCAAATCGTCACTCTAGATGTAGGGAAAGTGAAAGGATTTGCGTATAAAACTGCAGAAGGCGATATTGCCGGAATTTTCCTCAACATACCGTACTCCGAACCTACACTGGAAAATCTCAGATTCCGAGTAAGCCCCTCTTGTCGGTTACCACCACAATCACTATATCAAATGTCCATGGTATTCAGAAGCCTAGAATTCCAAAAGATTGGACCGAAATACGTGATGGCACAAAATTTGGCCCGGTTTGCCACCCGATCGTAAGAGAAGCTGTGCCTTTCGGGGCGCAGGCCAGCGAGGAATGTCTCACACTCAATATTGTTCGACCGAAGAAAAAGGTGCAATGTACAGATAACTTGTTTGAAAAGACAAAGAAAAGCTTTAGCCCCCATTGTCTGGTTATCCTATTCTTTTCTGGATTCATGGTGGAGGTTTTAACATCGGATCAGCACTTGATGCCGGATATAAAAGTTTTGCCGACATCTACGTGCCGGTGATATAATCGTTGTGACCATGCAGTATCGCTTGGGAGTCTACGGTAAGTCTATATAAACTTCTTTTTAGCGGGTCTTTGCTTGAAAGTGGTGAGTGTAGATTAAACTAACGGAATTCCGTAAGTAAAGATATGCATGGCTGTGCAAACACTTAGAGAAAATTTTGAATTTCTTCCACAATTTCAACGACATATGACCTCAAAGTTTCAGAAAAGGCTGAACACAAGCCACTATCCAGAGAATTTTCACAAGCCAATTTAAAATTACAAAATGATTTCAATCATCTACAAATGGGAACTAGTCAGTTGTGCAATTCCCCAGTGAATGTAGCTGCTTTTAAGAATTTACTAACAAGGAAGGTACTTTCTATGCCGACTTTGTCGGCACCTTCCTTGCAACCTATCATTACTTCCCGAGCACCGTAAAGGTCATGCCATAAGCATGACCTGCTGTGATATGGGTATGCTATTGCCCAGATGTTTGTGATGTTACTTTGACACGCCTATCATACTCAGCATTCTACCACTGCACTGATACGTGCATGTCGTCTGACTCACAAAGTTTATTAGCTATGTGTTCCGTATAACACACTCCAAAAGGCGCTATATCGCCTCAGGCTACTATAAAGCCATCGAACCACCGATACATTTCAATGACCGTGGCCTTTTGATATGAGATGCATGTCGTCTGATAGCTTCGAACGCTGATTCTAAATCTGCTTTCCTTTTCTGCGGAGCGCCTTCTGAAGAGAGTTATAGAAGCAATATCCTATTTTGGGGGCGATCCTCGAGTTAGAGAGCGCTGTGTGCCGTGGTGGTGCTGTGGTGTAATGGTTAGATGTTGGCGTTGAAGGCGAAAGCCGATGGTTCGAATCCGGTGCAGAGCGAACCATTTTTTCACTATGAATGTAAGTTCAAAAACCACTGTAATTCATCTGTAGCCACTTACTGTAATGCCCTTGGCAAATGTGACTTGAGGAAAAATTTTCTGAGAGAACTTCTTGTTTGTTGAGATTTGGTTTCTTCCGCAAAAGAAATTCATGTACAGAGGTGAAGCGAAATTACAAAGTGAGCAAAACATAGACATTTCTCACAACAGGAACAGCGTATGAAAAAAACCTCCGCGCAATTCTCATGCTCGCATGTACCCATTAAGTTACTAGGGGAATGATATTGGATTGGCGTTTGAAATGATTTCAAAACCTTTCAAATAAGTTCAATCAAACCGGATTAGAACTCGACCTATCGCCTTTGATGCCAACAATTAACCATTACACTACTGTACCACCAACGCACGTAGCAGCGTCTTCAAACTCAAGGAGCCCCAAAACAGGATATTCAGGCTTCTATAACTCTTTTCAAAGATCGCTCCGCAGGAAAGAAAAGCAGATTTGAAATCAGCGTTCGAAGATGCTTCAGATGGTATGCATCTCATATCAAAAGGCCACGGCCATTGATAGTACTTCCCTTGTAAGTTATGTGGTTTTTTAACCCCCCCCCCCCGCCCCCTCAGTCCGCCACGTGGTAACACAAGTTTTGGTGCCCTCAATACTTCTACCTACTCACTAAATTTTTTGTAGGCTAGGACATCTGCCAGGTAGGATAAACATATAAAGGACAAAGGATTCGGCGTCTTCAATACCCCTTGCGGGCATGCGACGAACGCACACTACTTCATAGTCGAAGAGGCAGTATGCGTACGAGCCTATTACAGCGACTTGCGGTTGCCAGCCGTTACCAAGACAGTGCTATTATCCTCCCAGATTAATCTGGTACCAGTTTACCGCACTCGGAGGGTAGAGGGCTTGGTTGGCCCAGGGGGCGGGGATTGAAACTGCGTCCGATCTGATCATAGCGGCGCCTCATACCCATACCTTCGATAGTCTAGAGACAGGGCGTAAAAAGTGAAGGTTGTTTGAACATCTGACGTCATAAATAGTGAAGGTTGTCCAGAGAAGATCAGAGATGAGAAAATGACGTAAAACGGATATAAAAAGCAAAAGAAACGGCTGAAAACCGGATAAAAACGCTGCAAAAAGATTTGAAGCCTTTCAATTGGCGGCTTTTCAAGGTGCAAGTTTTCGCTCCAGGACCAGCAATTCGCAACACGGGGTTTTGATTTTTGATGGTTCCTTTGAATTTTTACCTCCGCATTGACGTTCCTGTTTCCTGGGACGTTGTCTAGATTGTTGCGCTTATTGTTCTGAGCAACAATCGCCCAAGATGGAAAAAATCGCTGCGAAAGCACTGAAACAGAACAAGGTAAAGAAAAACGCCCTTTTGACGATTTTTCGCAAAAAATTCCACCATAATCGAAGAAGTAAGGGCTGGGTGGTTATCTGCATTATGAGCAGAAGCAAGATCTACAGAATGCACGAAAAAACCGCGTGAAAAGAGTTAAACTAGAAGAAAAACAAGAGATTTTCAAAAACAAGGTTTTTGCTGGATTTCTCGATCAAATCAAAGAATGTGGTTCTGGGACGTTGTCAGCGTGAAAATAGAGATCAAGAGCTTCAAAATGATATATAGCTTGCTAAAACTGGATTCGAAACAGCGAAGAAAAGGGTACCAGAGCCAAATGCCCCGCGCCCCGCGTTTGGGGTAGCGAGGTAGCGCGCAGCGCGCGGAGACGCAGACGAGCAGCGGAGACAGACCAGAGCCGACGGGGCATTTGGCTCTGGTCGTAGATCTATGCGGGGTCTCAACAAAACCCTGCAACATTATATATCATTCTGATCGTCATGACATGGCGAGGAGAACTGACAACGCCAAGCTTTAAAAGCCACTCATTAGCGAGATAGACCAGCGTTCTCATGCGCGAGCCTCTGCGAAAGATTCAAGCGCAGTTTCTCTTTTAATATAACTCCAACATACCTCCAACCTGTGTCATACCACTACGCCACTCGTCCCCCGAATAAACATATGTCAATCATTAATCGAGTAATTTCTTGTGAACATCTGTTTTTGTATCCTATCAAATAAAAAGAGGGGACCCTCAAAAAATCTTTAGGGGTTTTCTCTTCTGGTGATGAGCGCGTGTTAGGCAATCCGGGCTTGTTCGACATAGCCGAAGCACTGAAGGTATGGTCTTCTTTTTTGTTTTCTTCTTGAAGAAAACTGCTATGTTTCATTATTAAGTGAATATGAAGACCAGAAAATGAATGAGATTGCTATTGTGTAGACATGATGTGATACTGCACTTTTTGCGTATCAGTTACATTGTCACATTGCTCTTGCAGTTTGTCTACGGTAACGCGGCGTACATTGGAGGGGATCAGTCGCGTATTACCGTATGGGGTCATAGTGCTGGTGCTGGAGCTGCTGGTCAGCTAATTCTCAGTCTAATTACAAGAGGTAAATCTATCAATTATCGAAATCATCCTATCATAAAGAATCTAGCTTTCTACTTATTAACCAAAAAACTGGCCGGGCATACGCATATGCAATTTCATCGCCTCACGATCCTCCCTACAAGACAATTGTTACGAGTTTTGGTTGTGATAGTTCTAGTTTTTTGGCATGACTGACCAAGAATATATACCGCAAAAATGCAAGATGATCTGCACGCAATGGACTCGTAACATTGCGGCCGATCATCTTGTCGGGAGCATTACGAGGTGACGAAATTGCGTAAACTACGCGCTGCCCTTTAGTCGGGAAGTTTTTGAGAAATTAATGCATCATTTGTGTAGTTATCTCTAGGCTTTATTTTGTACAGATATGGTAAATCAATCAATCGAAATGTCCGGTTCAGCATGGGCATCTTGGGCTCTCGGCGCTAATGTTGTGAAGAACTCGATGGAATTGGTTAAGGTAATTTTTTGATGTTTTGATTTGATTTTGGTCTCAAAAACAGTTGATTTGTCCGCTAAAAATGGCAATTTTAGCTATTTGAATGTGACAGAAATATCAGAGGATGCTTGAGAAAGAAGTCTCCTGATGAAATCCATGACGCTGTTCAGAAACTGGTGAGCAACTGCAGCTGATTGGTTTCACTAATAAAATCAGAAAAATTACGATGATTGGGCTCTGCTACTGTGCTGACACTTGAGATAAATTGCGCGGCTTCACATATTTTTGAAGTTTGTGATAGATGCCTTTGTGAGCGAAGTTTTTTGGTGGTGCAATGCCCCCTCTCAGTTATAATGTAATTTTCATGGTTCAAACACGGACGGGTTGTCAAATATCAAATGGGGTCCCGTATTGACAAAGGTTTTCTCTACTATCCAGATGATTTAATATTGTTGGCACCTCGGAAAAAATCTATTGTTGGTTTTACAAACAAGGAAGCTGCGCTATCTAGTCAGTGTTTTTCTTTATCGATTTTATAATAAGTGGAATGGAGTGACCCTTTAGCCATCATGGGGGTGGATCCACTCCTTCATAAATTTGGCATCAGTCCGTCGAATTATCCGGAATGGACCAGAGAGAAGTTCATAAGTACAATTAAGGTAATCTGTTTGGGGTGTGGAAGGTAAGTAATTACTAATGGTTTTAGAAATATGTAGAATTGGTCTATACCGGGAACGATGCACAAAGTATCATTGACGATCTCGTGTCATACTATGTGGACAAAGGAGAAGAGAAAAATTACGAGTTTTACATAGACCGATATACGCAAGTAAACTCTACTAATTATTTCTATCTTTTCCTATCACATTTGCACTTTCAGTTTATCAATGACGCTATTTTCAATGTACCGATTGTTGACGGAATTCTGAGTCGTCGAAAAGCCGGTTGGACCATTTACGCTTACTTCCTAGATCATTATAATGATGCCATCTGGAATGACAGAGTGCCGAAAAGATTGAGAGGTTGGTGCTTGCTTTACAACTTAAAAATTTACGTTGAAAATCTAACAGGAAATGGAATTTATGCTGGCTCATAAGGTCATCTGAGATTCCACAGCGTTTGAAAGTGTAGCTGCGCAAACGACAGAGCAGTGGCCGTGCGAGAAATTTTTTTGGATGGGGGAGGGAATGCGACTTGAAAGTGTTACACAACTTTTTATTGGACCCGAATCGGCGGCGGAGGACCATGAAAGAATGATTTACGCTGTTTATGAATTTTTTGAAAAATTTGACAAATTACTCAAAGTTTATAAGTATAATCAAGTCTTTCACATGATCTTATATCTTTGATTCAAAGGGATTGACTGCTGGAAGGCGCCCGCTTGCGTCCGCGATGCTTTCTGCGCAGGACCCGGCACGTTGATTTGGAGCATTTTTGGAAACGAAGCCCCCATGACTTCGCGGAAATTTACGAAGTCTTTCTTGACGTAAAAGTCAGTAGAAAAACCTTTTTAAACAAATAAAAAGGCGGAAAAAGCGCATTTTGAGGTATCCAAGTTAACAAGAAACCAAAAAAACATTTTGAGTTGATTAAAGGGTTCGCTATTGAGTACGAAACCAATTTAGTGCTCAGATGTTGAAAACCTCTTAGTCAACCAAATCTGTGGCATTAACAATTCTGGCGATGCTTCACCATCACATAGTTCAAAGGGCACCGCATGTGATTGGAGCGCGATATCTATCAGTGCGTAGGTTAACATTATTTTTGGCTTAAAAAAGAGGAGAGGCAATGATTGATTCGCTCTCTTCGCTGTATGATAGACTTTTGAGCGTTTTAATCGTCTAAGTCAAAAATATTAATTATGTGAAATCTCCGACATTCATGCGCCGAACCAACCCAGTTGTTTTGGTGTTGGTCTAGAAACCAACAAATTCGGGAACATGTATTAAGGCACATAAGTTTTTGAAACTTTTTACATACCATAATTTGAGGTAATATTGTATACACATAGCCTAAACTCGGTCTCATGTGGTCGTTTGTGCGCTGTAAACAAGCCATCTGTTTGTTTGAGTCTTCTGTTTGAAATTCGCGCGCTTGCGAAAGAACGCGTTCAACTCGTGAAACCTAACATGTTCGTCGTTTTTTCTTGGTGCTCTGCCCAGGATCTTATAAAAACGAGAGCCCCGTTGCTTTTAACATCAAAAACGAAGTCCAGTTTGACCTCAGACAACTTGTGTAGGGCCCTGACTCTGCGTCTCTCTCGCGAGCGTGTCCTCTGATCATTCTCTAGCCCTGACTATGCCTCAAAGCCCGCTTTCTCCCACTTCAGTTGAACTAAAAAGCTTATGTAGGTAACTTTCAAAAATTTGCGACATATTCTCGAGAGAGAGGGTAGGGCAGGTAGTGTACAATACTACTCATAGTTTGTAAAAAAAACCTGGTTGATGCCGGAATCTGCGACATAAACTTGCATCACCCTGTGTTCTTCTACGGACAAATTCTAAATCCAAGGGCACCATTTAACCGTGCGAGTTGTGTTGTTCATGGTCCTAACAAGCTAACTCAACTACCCCTCGCCACTGTCAGCAACGCTAATCTGCACCCAATTTGCACCGAACCAAGCAGATTTTGCTCACGACAGAACGACATTATCCTACAGTGTACGAAACCGGGATTTCATCGAAATTTGAATTCAAAGTTCAGTAGTGAAATTAGTCCAACTAGGGTAAAAATTTGTATTTAGGGGTGATCTGCCATGCTGGTTCCAAATATAATGGTGGTTTTGTCTGAAAAAGAAACCGAGCTTTGTGATGGGATTAAAATCAATGTTCAGTGGCGATATTTGGCAAATCAGAATAAAATTTTTCTTTTGAACTTTAATCTCGTTTTCGAAATCAGGCAAAAAGCCCAAAATTGTCATTCTAGGGTTTTCCATGATGCTGTTTTCGAACATGCTAATGTTTTCGCCGGAAACTTCAAAAACTTCTTGTTTTGAAATTTTGACTTTTTCAGAATTCTCAATGCAACTTCGATAAAACTGGAAAACAAATGAAAAAGAATGCTACTTTTAAAAAGACTAGGAAAAAATGATGTAAACTGCGGAATAAAATTTGAAATAAGGTGAGGAAAAAATCAATGAAGCTGAAACTAAGTTTGAAGGTCTGGAAAATATTCCCAATATTATATCTGTGCTTTATTAAATTATTCTGGACACTACAATTAGTTTCCTTGAAGAGCAGCTACTGAATTATTACTTAATTCTTAAAAAATGACAAAACATTTGCTTTTATCGGCGGATTCGAGGATTTTGTGCTAAACCGTTATCATATTCGTAAAGAGTGCTCTTAGAAACCCCCAAATCCAAGTTTTTATTCTGATTTGAAATATCGCCACTGAACATTGATTTTAATCCCATCACAAAGCTCGGTTTATTTTCACGCAAAATCACCATCATATTTGGAACCAGCATGGCAGATTACCCCTAAATTCAAACTTTTAATCTAGTTGGACTAATTTCACCACTGAACTTTGAATTCAAATTTCGATAAAATCCCGGTTTCGTACACTGTAATGATGTCGTATCTATCTTGAGCAAAATCTGCTTGTCTTCGGTGCAAATTGGGTGCAAATTAGCTTTGCTAACAGTTCATGACCTCATATGTTCCCTTCCCTGTTAATTACATGGCGGCATACCTCTCTGGGTAGATAAATTCCGTTCCCCAAATCTAGCCATAGTACATGTACCCTCAGTGGCCGCATTCATCAACGAACCCTGAGGGTTAAGCTTACCCTCCAGGATTAGTTTGACCCTCAGGGTTCATTAGGCGTATTCATCAACCATAGGATAGGGTTTATCACGGAACGCGATCTACCCGTATCGATCAACAAACCTGTGGCCGTAATCATCAACCCTGAGGGTTAAACTAACCCTAGAGGGTTAAGGCGTCAGCTACGCGTGCGCTGTGCAAATTTACATCATAGAATGCCTAAATACGTGCTGAATTTAATTTATACTTCTGTTCTTTCACTGTTATAGTAGTATAATTAACGAATAAGCTTCTAACACTAGTTTTTATAATACAACTCTAGCATATTTGTGCAGCTAGTCTTACAGCGTGAGTTTATTTTCATGTATGCAATTGTGTGTAGTGTAAGCTCTACCTTTGCGCAGTTCGTTTTATACCGGGCTTGTGCCTTTTAGGGGTCCGTGTTATTATAAAGGGGTTCTTCTGTTTTGGCACTTGTCAGAGTGGAATGCCATTTTTCCTCGTCGCATTCATTTGTCACCAAAGCTAGAAATCTTTTTCTCGTGAAATCAATGTTTCATGTACTTCGAATATGAACATAAAACGAAGTCGAAACTAAGTATTATACTATAACAACAACCAATACTAAATACACAATACTCGTTGATCGTTTTTCCACAAACTACAGGGTGTCCCAAAAAAATGTATCGAACGTTTGATCGTTAAAATCTCTTCTCTAAAGTAGTCTTTTCCCTTGCTTCAGGTACCAATCTGTAGAGCTGGCTTCAGCTTAGATTTGCATTATAGAACGAATCACTTATCTCTCTTCATTGCTGTAGGATTACGTTAGAAACTTCGAAGAGGGTTTTAAGCAATGAAAGGCCATATTTTGCCCCAGTAAGGAAACAAAACAGCCTGAAAGCTTTTACACTAGGTCAATTAGAGTTGCTGATTATAACTGTAAAGTTCACAATTTATCATGATGCTTCATTGAAGAGTAATGCCAGGTAAGAGGTAGCGGCCATTTTTTCAATGTTCTTAAAAAGTGCGATTAAACCGTTTAGAAAGCTTCGTAATCTTGTGAATAGTTGAGTATTGAACTCAGCGTCCATTAAAACCCTATTACACATGTTTTCACATTTTTTTGAAAAATTTTGAAACTGCAGCTTTTTCCACAGTGACACCATCTGTTTCAAGTTTCTACCGTAATCCTACAGTAATGAAGAGAGATGGGTGGTTCGTTTTATAATGCAAATCTAACTTGAAGCCAGCTCTACAGATTGGTACCTGAAGCAAAGCAAAAGAATTCTTGGGAAGAAAGATATTAACGATCAAACGTTCGATACATTTTTTTGGGACACCCTGTATTAGACGCGAGTAAATGTTTGTAGGAAGTGTTAGGGTAGAGTTAACCTTGCTCTGAGCTAGGGTTGAATTAACCCTGATGAATCACATAAGTATAACCCTCCAGGGTTAGTTTAACCCCCACGATTTGTTGATGAATACGGGTTAGTCGCTTTCGGGGTAAAATTAACCTTCAAGGTTAGATTTAACCCTCAGGGTTAAGCCTACCCTGTGTTTCATGAATATGGGTTAAACGCTTTCCAGGGTTAAACTAACCCTCCAGGGTTAGTTTAACCCTCAAGGTTCGTTGATGAATACGGCCACAGTTGATTTAGTGGCTTGGTCACAGAAACATCTTGCAGGTGCAGCACATGCAAGTGAGTTTCCATATATAAACGGAATGCATATGCTGGGTGATTTTGAATTTGATGAGAATGAACAGAGAATCGCTGATATTTCCCAACAATCTATAATTGAGTTCGTCAAGAGTGGGTAAGTTCCCAAACCTAGTCGTTATTTAATAGTATCAGTAATCATTTACACAGGATTGTTGTAAACCAGCATGAAATTTGGCATGATACCGGAAAGGGAGCCAAGCTCGAATACTTGAGGATTGCTCCGCATTCTGGAATGAAGCAGGGCTTGAACAACGGTATACTTTTATCGAATTTTTTTTGTGGAGAGTGTTGTGATTGTGTGAGTATTAGCTTGTGTTTTGGGAAGCAACTACTTATTTGAAAATAAGCTTCACTGAGATTTATTTTCCATGCTGTTTTCCTTGTAGTACTGAAAAAGCTGGATTTTTAAGACAAAAAGAAAACGTCGAAAACCATAAGATCTACACAGCAAATTGATATTCTTCAAAGACCATCGACTTCTGGCACAAACACCAGCGGTCAAAAAGGCCCGTCTACGGTACACTTTTTTGGAATCTGCGTCTTTTTCGTTGTTTATTGTTTCCAAGTTGTTTAACAGCAAATCAAATGTTTAAAGCTTCTCGCACCATTTGTTTATTTAAAAGCCTTTAAGTTCTCTCTACTTCTTATCGTTAGAAAAAGTGAAAGCAGAACACAGTATGTTGCAGCACTGTTTATGGCCAACGGTTATGAAATCGTTATCTCTACTAAGCGCTAACTGCCAGCTGCTCGCAAGCGCAGATCGGCCCACCCTCATCTTTCAACAGCCGAAAAAGAGGACACAAATTTCTTTTTATTCAATTTCATTTCCTACATAAGTCATAGAAGTTTGCACAATTTAACACACTGACGACTTCTTGATATACATGGTGTGTCAAGCAATGAATACCGCGTGGGACCGCTTGACACCCATGTGTGTCAAGGCTGGAATTTTGTTACAATGACTATTCTCCTGGAACAAACTCACCACGAGGTTTCTTTTGCGCTGAGTCTAGAGGTGACTTCTACGTTTTTTGTCAGCTTTTCAGAACTACTGTAGTTGTACTGTAAGTGGCAATATGCGCGATTATGTTGAGAATGTTGGCTGGTCCGTAAAAGGCGTTGGTCCCAAAAGGCTGACAAGTCAAAATCTGCATAGTCGTCAATGTGTTAAATATGCTGAATTAAGCTTGAGTGATTAATAGGGCGTGTTTACAGTAATGCGATTGCTGACTTTCTATCTGACAAAACTATCAAAAACGATAATTCTAGGTAGGCTAACGGAAAATGGCGTATGGGCATATAATACTACAGATTATACTGTCTGCGTAAGCTCGTCTACTGCCTGGAACGGTGCTATCTGTATACCGCTCAAAGGCAGTGTCTCAATGAAATCAGTGACCCTATTCATCAACGAACCCTTGAGGTTAAAAGTTACCTCAGCTAGCATTTTAGTTTATAACCCGTATTCACAACATGATCGCAATCAAATTTTCTCGTGGGTTAAATCTACCTTGAGGTAGAAATGAACCTTCAAACGCATAAACCCGTATTCATCATTCTACCTTGAGGTTAAAATCTACCTCAGTCATCATTTTTCCATCAACTTTCTATTATGCTTTCAAGGTAAAATTTAATCCTGGGATAGCTAGGGTTAAAATTTACCTTGACTTTGCACATAAGAGTTGAACTCTTTCTAAGGACCTTTTTAATTCTTACGCAACCGTTTTCAAAGACAAACATATCTATATTATAGTGATTTTCAACTCAGTTTAGGCGGAAATTAAACTGGCGGGAGTCCGCTTCGCAAGGACTCGCGCCACTTGCAGTCTGCATATTTTCATCCTAATCTGTCTCGCTGAGCCAGTGACATTGCAGACGCGCTGCTCCATTTGAATATTTCGTCTACACCGGGTTTTAAGAGACTGTAAAACTAGCTTAAATTTTACTTGTTTACTTAGTCTCATTCCTTACCCCTAATCATAGTTTTCAAGGCTCTAAAAGTCATTTAAAGACAATTAAATAGGCAAAGCGTCGAACCATTCGACAGATACGCATCGATGACTTGAGCTTCAAGCGAGCTCCTTTCTTCGGAAAAATACTTGTGGCCGTCAATACAGCCAAGCTTCACTAATGAGAACCATGCTGTTTGACTTTCTAAACTCAATGTTTGGTTCCTTTTCAAGCGGTCAGTGAGCGATCTTCCAGAACTTTACAGGCGAACGAAAGGTGATTTTTGCGTGTAGCAAGTTTCTTGTGGTTAAAAGCATAGAATGCTTTTAAGACTCTAAGGAGATGTTTGGTCGGGTAGTTTTTAAATTGCTTTTGCCCATTTCAGGCTTTAGAGAAGGCGAATCATTGCTGAAACGTTGATAATAACCGCCAATTTCAGCCGTAGCTAGAACGGAATCGATACAGTACCCAACAAATAATAAAGTTTGTCAAAGGCAGTGGCTCGGCAAATCCTCAATCTGTGGTTTTTTTTGCTTATCTGGAGTAAATTTTGAGATGTTTGATTTTGCCGAGCCACTGCCTTCAAAGACACCATGTGAGACTTTTGCAACCCCAAAATTTGTAACTTGAGACATCAGGCCAGTGCACACCTTTCCTCCTAGATAATGCACTGATGATATACTTCTTGAAGCTTCAAGCAGAATCTTTCCCAGACGGTAAACTAGCACAAGAAAGTGTCCCACGCCAGTGCTTTCTGTTCAATAGAGAGGCTTCTTAAGACTTTGGGAGATAAATTTTGTTAAATCACACCCTTTTCCTCAGTAATCTCTTGAGAATCTTAGACAGCTTCTACAGAGGAAAACTGTATCTTGAAAAGTATTCGGTTGTCTCCTTTAAAAAGCTAATGTCCGTCTCGGAATTAAACCGCAATAAGTCACGCACTTCTCAATTTCAAGTTTCAAAATACCATTCGATATAACAAAGCAAGCTCTACAAGATGGCAGTCTTGCTTTTGCACCTGCTTTGATCCACCTCAAGTTTCAAGCCAAAAACTAAAAAGATTCAACTGCCCTGAAAATCGAGAAAATTCGTAACTTAATCCATAAAAATCCTACAAAAATTCTAACTTGCTCGGGTAGACACTGTTCACAAAAGACATTTATCTAGGTTAATGCCGTGATCTTTCATCTGTTAGAAATCAAACTAAGCGCAAATCTTCTTTTGCCAAAGTGATGCTGTGATGTCTCCACGTAAGTAGTTGCACACTACAAGCTTGTAGAAATATAAACATAAGTTTTCAGCTTTTTACAAGCTTCAGTTCTTGAGAAATAGCGAATATAGCTTTCCTTATTCGGGTGATCTATACTAGAATCTGAATTTCGCAAAAACCAGAGCTTATAGAGAGCTGAGAATTTAGTTTGTACTTCCACAGGTTGGTAGTATAATATCACATATGTGTGGACAGCACAGCATCACTTTGGCAAAAGTATGAAAATCTTCGTTTTTTTTAAATTTCTAACCGAGAAAAAAAAACGCAATGGCGTATATAGATGTCTTACTTGGATGCTGTTTATGTGAGCAAGTTAGAATTTTTGTGGGATTCTTATGGACTGAGTTAGAATTTTTCTCAATTTTTCAGGTATTGAATCTTTTAGTTTCTGGCTTGAGATCCGAGGTGGATCAGAGCCGGTGCAAAGCCAAAATTGCCATCTTGTAAAGCTTGCTTCGCTCTATCGAATAGTAAATAACCACTATCTAAAAATGAGAAGTGTATGACTTATTTCGTTTCAAATTCAAAAAGACATTATTCTCCGGACAACCTAATAGCTACTTGTGGCGACTCGGTGGGCTTATGGCACCTAGATGTAACCAGGGTCAAGCGTGGGGTGCGGCACGCCACACCTGGGGGGTCGTATTGAGGAGTCAAAAGGGGGGGGGGGGTCGTAGTTGGGTAATCTGATAATAATGATAACATGATATTCGTATCATATCCATAATTATCATGTCAATTAACCCTGTAGACAAAGTGTGATCGAATTCTGAAAATTCAAGATACTAAGCTACCTAAATGTAATGGTCAAATTCCAATTTTGTTTCAAAGGCGAATTAGCTATCCACTTTTTGCACTCAAGACAAAGCACTACTCCTTCTTTGTCCACCTCAGGAATTCCGCTTCAGGAGACCTGCAAACTGTGGAATTAGAAGCCAACCAAAATCTCGTTTTTACCATTTTTCGCTTTTGATCGCTGTGCTTTCACCAAATATTACTTAGAGCTAAGAAGACAAATCAGGCTCGAAACAGTCCTATGGAATCTACAAGTTTTAGGCTATCGATTCATATAAGTACTGTCCGCTAAAAATGTTTTTTTGATATAGTTAATGGGGTGCGGCACACCCCACTTGCCTTCAAAATCCAGAAAGCGCTCCATTGCTGGTATGAGTATTGAACACATAGCTTCTTCTTGTCACATTGGAAATTTGGAGCCGAACGCCCCACCCATAAGAAAATTATGGCCCTTTCAATATGCCCATTCAGATCAAAATCAGCCGTCAAATTACGTGTGATTGTAAAGTGCAGTCACAGAAAATCGGGCGTACAGCTCTCAGAAATCTGAAAACTCCCTAGAAAAAGATGGTGCCCTCCAGAATGTCACACTTTGAGGTCCAGAGGTTGAGAGGAGGGAGAAGGGGTCGTTTGAGGGCTTTCATGGGAGGGGGGGGGGGGTCGAAAGACTTGTGCCTGACCTCTTTCTCAACTCTGGTATGCTATCTTAGGTATATAGTTCAGGGGGGGGGGTCGTAACCAGCGATCGTGTGCCACACCCTTTGCTTGACCCTGGACGTAACCCGAGGCCTGATGCTCGCCCGATACGAAGCGACGTACCTAGCCTACTGCGCACTAACGCGCGATCGAACGGAACATAGGGTTAATTGAGTGGTTTATCCTCATGACACTAAACTACAGCAAAAATAGATAAAAAAGAATATTACACTAAAGCAAAAACAAATTACTACTACTGCAAAGTTATACACAGGACGACGGCCTGTCCCATGCTACCGATGCGCGTCTATAAACAAACTCAAAAATACATAAGGCTCTCGAGGTTTCGCGCAACAAATCCACCGCGCAAAGCCAAGGCCCTTAGACTACGGCACGTCCCCTCCAGCTCCTGTAGATGATTTTCAAATTGACATGCAACTTCGGTGGTACAGTCTGCTTCAATCGGGATCAGGCCGAAGTCGGCGTAAATTTGCGCGCTCGCAGCGCTAGCGGTCTGCCCTGCCTGTGCGCGCTGTCGGAAAGAGCAAAACGATTGGAGAGAGAGCAGAGAAGGAGGCCGTGGGCGTGACCGCGAAACCCTTGAGACGCGGACTCCCGCCATGCCAATTTTGGCCTGGTTAGGATTGGGGCAGACTGTACAACGGCGCGTTGGAATGCGCTAACAAAAAAGAATCCGTTTTTCAATCCAAGAACTTCCGGCTCAACTGCTCTTACAAAAAAGGACAGGAGCATAGCGGCTGTGATGATATTCGAACAAGAAATGAAATCAATCAATAAAGACGAAGACGAACAATGGCACCCAACTGAGGCGCCGCCGCCTTATATAGCCGCCTGGCTGGCAA